ATGAACCATGAACCGGAGCGCTGTTCTTTATTATAGCGTTAATGTGTGTCTCTCCATCATACTCACGGAAAGAACAAATGCCGTTTCTGCTCTGGAATAATGGTGAAATGAATTATTATTTTTGTAATGCAAGTTTGAATTTAAGTTGATGTTTTCATAAAAATATATGTTGCAATGTTGCGTTCATGTTCCAAAATTTGATTTCAGTTGGAGGACAGGTACCAAAACTATTTTAAGGGAAAGAAGCATTTTTTGAAAGAGAAATTACAAGAACATGTTCTCCCAGATTTTTGTTTGACAGTGATTTGATTCAAACGTACCATAATACTCAGGCAAAAGTATAGCATCACATTACATTTATATTATCACCAGACACACTAAACAGTTTTATGAGGAAATGAATAGACTTTAGTGGATATGTACTTACAAGAAAGATGTGGAACTCTGTGACAGTTTTTGTTTCATGTAGATATGCCCAGGAAGTACAGGGACTTTAGTTCTGACTTTGGAACTTGAAGGAAAGATTTTTCAACTGCTCTCCACCACACTTTGTTCTGTTGTGATGTCACATGAACCAAACCTATTCTGTTTACGGTCTGTAAAGGAATAGGATATTCCTTTATGCTCTGTTCATTAAAACTATGAGGCGACAAAACACTCCGAGTTTTTTACAACAACAGTATAGCTATTTTTCTCAACATTCACTTGTATTTACATTTTTGCCCCATTTACCAGAGTAAAGAAATACGGTGCACCTCTGGCATAAAGTATCATTTTACCACTCATTCCTGCTCCCTCACAAACACATATACTTTATTATGCAGAGCAAAAGTGTGACTTGAATGTTGAAGGCATGTCGTTCCCAGAGTGCACGCTCAGGTTGGGAGCAGCTGTGCCGTAGCCTGCTCCTCAGAAGAAGGAGGCTGAGGCTGAGGTGACAGCATCAGCTTGGCTCTCCTAATGAATGTCTCACTTCCTCTGGCACCCTCCCTTCACTCTTCCCCTCCCAGGCATCCTTGCACCCTGAGCCTACAGCGCGTCTCGTGGTCGACAGGCCGTGCCATTGCTGGGATGACCTCACGGGCCTCCAGCTTCGCCCACAGAGCAGTGTCACTTCAGCTTTGGCCGAAGCTGGGCTGGTGTCAGGGCGCAGTCAAGGGTAAGTGGATTAATAGAGGCTAATGAGAAGTGGAAGAACACCAGCGTCAATGGACAAAGGGGCATTGTTGTACTCTTACACGTGATACGTTCATATGGTGGAATAACAGTTTTCAGTTCAACCCTTTTTCTTTACTAAAATTACCCAAAAAGCAAATCTTTAAACAATATAATTCATAATGGGTAGGCCTCTTCAGCTGGTAGAATGAAGCAAATCAATACATTTTGATAATTAAATGGCCTGTTTAATTCTAGATTAAGTATTAGCATATTTACTTAAAGCTTTTTTATGACCCGGAGGCAGTAAGAGTGGGCAACATAGTGCATTTACTGTTGGTCCGGGTTCTGTCAATTGTTCTATAGACCACACACTATCATTGATAATTAAAATCACAATCTTATAATTAATCTCTTTCATTTTTATTTTTGATTCGACTTTGCCTGCCGTTACCTTCTTGTCTACAAGATTTTAATTATAATTTAGACTTTATTCAGGACACATATGCAGATACGTGATCCATAGCAAATGTTAGAAAAGATTGGTATTTATGTTTATTATGACAGGTTTGTGGACATTCCAGTCAAAGAAGTAACATCTGAGACAAGAAGATGATGTATTATCCCCAAGAAATGTTTCAAGGACATAACAAATCTGGTCAATAAACACAAGCAAGTGCACTACGAAAATCAGATGCGATGACAGGCAACAGTCATTTTTTCCTAATAACTAAAGTTCATTAAACTCCTCCGTAAGTGATATTAGCTAGATGCATTAGCTTGTCTCTTCCTGATGTAATTGTTTCGCTCAGTGACTGTAACATTGCTCGTGTTATTGGGCAATCAGGCAGTGCTAATGTAATGGCTGTGATCACAGAAGAGCACCAGCCGTTCTTCACTGTTTGCTTTCACACTCTCTTGAGGACACACATCTGCACGCATCAAGCAGTGATATAAATGAAGGCGTATAGTAGCTCAGTATCAGCAGTAGTATTCTAGCTGCTATTCATAATAAATAAATTACCATACAATCCCTCAATAATGTTTTCATTTGACCTCATGAAACCGTACTAAACCTGATTTTCTTGTTTGTGTAAGTATTTCATGTTTATTTGGACAGTGCATGTTAATGAACACACCTCTCCGGATTGTAGCCTTGGGCTGATTTTTCCGTTGTGCCAGAGTCACACTCACAAACATACACTTATTCACCCTGAATAATCGAATATGTTTTTAGTGATTGGGGAAAGCAGAGCACCCGGAGGAAACATGCAGTCATGGAAAAGGGAAGGCCCTGCCTGTCTGGAGGTGGAATCAAACCCAGGACCTCCTTTTTGTAAAGCACAAGCACTAACCATGCTGCCCCGTAGGAATGAGGTTAGTTTAAAAAAAAAAATATTATTATTTGTATGTATTATCTTATTCCCTACAAATCAGAAGATCAAGTATCCCAAAAAGGCTAATTTTTTTCATGGTAAGTCATTGTGACTTTTTGTTTCCTTTAGAGAATTATATTTCCAAGTAGATGAGGAGAAGCCTTACCAGCCAATACCACATATCTTTATAATGCGTTGTCTGGGGCTTTGAATTCAACCAAATCACAGCAATGATGTACCCACTGTACGTGTTACAGACATCGTATCAGTAAAATAAAAATGAATCATGATAATGCAGTGGTTTTATATAGCACTTTTTTGGACACTCAAAGATGCTTCACATCATTCATTCACAGGGTGATAAACTACAACTGTAGCCACAGCTGCCCTGGGGCACATTGACGGATTAGACAAATTACTCCTAACATTTTAATTTGCTCTAGTTTGCGGGTAAAACATGTCGAACCTGCAATTTACCCTGGTCAGTATACTATGATGTTTTAACATTTCACTGTCTTAACAGCAAAGCAGCCGAAGGTGTAAAAATATACTAGTCACAGATGCAAAATTATCAATAAGAACTTGCGTTACTATCAAAGTTTGGGCTTGAGCTTGTGCAGCCTTCTCCTTTGTGAAGTTTTCCTTGTGGAAAATTATGTTTTAATGGTTCTGTTTCAATAAGCTTGCAGTATTCCAGGCTAAGCGTTCCCCAGGGCATATTGTTCTTGTCACATGTTTCTGAGGTGGATGTCCTCTTTGTTACTCTTTGGTCACTGTGCTCCTCCTCAGTCATGTATGGGAAAACTTTTCATAAGTGATTGGCATTATTACATTATCACAAGAAAAACTTTAATTTAGTTTGCAACAAACCAATGAGGGAGCAATGGGAGTTAAGTGACATACTAAAACTTTTGGTCCTCATGTCCTCCATTCTTATATTGTTACGATCATCAAACCTGGTCTCCGTCTTCTGTGACACTGTCACCATTCTTTGATTGTAGATTGATTCCAGACAGCCTTATCTCTCCAATCCCTTTCGCCTCCTCCTGCACTTGAGCAAGCTGACAATTACAGGATTTCCACAGCAAGACGAGGTGCTCATCAACATGTATAATCTGAGGGGACCCCTGTCACAGCCGTGCGTGACCACCCTCCTTGTGGCAGCATTCACACACGCTGCACACAGAGACATCTTCCAACCGCCCCCTCATGTGCCCCGCTGCTCCTCACTCACCGCAGCCGCACATCTACTGTAGAGCCTGACAGAAAGACAGACGGACTCATGCCGTATCATTATCCCAGCCTCTCCATCAGCCTCTGCAGCAGCAGGGCCGCAGGTTTCAGCCCCAAGATGCTCTTACATAGGTCTCCGTGTGCATGCTAACAAATGCCCCGACACCCTCCCACACACATGCACACAAGTTCATGTGTGTTGGGTTTTCATGCATTTCGGGGACTTTAGAGTGATAAGCCAATTGTGTATACAGGTTTCAGCCTGTGTATCACTCTAACATTGAAAGATTTAAGGTGATGATATGGAACAGCATGAGGTAGGCAGAGTGTTAAATCATGGAGTTTGCAGCTATTGCAATTGAAACCTAATTAAAACTTAACAGTTGTTCTAACACAAATATCACATGATGATTAAAAAAAGAGACAAGTCTCCAAAATAATGTGTTCGGATAAGTAAATACAAAAAAGCTGCTTTCATGCATTATACCCAGGCATTTTCCGGACTTTACCCAGTGGCCTGTGTGCAACAGCAGCAGGTGATGATCAGCTCCAAAGACAGGGACAAAACAGGGACAAAACAAGACATATAAAACATAGATACTCATGAACAGATCAAAGGTGCAGTCACAAGAGGAGGCATGGGTTTACTTTCTTTTCTGGTTTTTTTTATTATTGATTTGGTCTGTGCAAAAACGTATCTCTTAACAGTATGCACACGGTATGGAAACATGAGTAACTTAATGGGGAGCAAGCTTTTGAGCACACAAGTCAGTGCATCAGCCACCTGCACACACTGTATTATGGTCAGAGAACTGCATGGTTCATAGGTGTGTAATGGCCAGTGGAGGCCTCTCGCCCAGAGAGACGGTAAGCCGTGGCTTCAGAGTCTTCACAGTCTTCACAAGCATGCGTGGTGCATATATTCTGTCCAGAACATGGTCCAGCATGTTGCAGCTGTGACAATCTATTTTTCTGATTTGCTCTGGGTGTTGTATGTGAAAGCCCTTAAGCAGTTTAAATGTACTGAATTTAATTGTATAGAGGAGGGGAAATGTATTGTGGTGAGGAGTCAAACACGTACAGAACACTACTGCAGAATAAGCCTCTGCATACACTATATTTCAGTAGTGTAAATAAAAAATGTGTTTCAATCCTGATTTTTGGACTTTAGAGATTTCAGAGTAAGCTAATAGGCTTATGTCTTTCATCCATGTCTAAACAAGATGTAAATAGGCTTCAGTGAAAAGTGCTGAACAGCTGCTTTTCTTCCTTCTCCTCCACACGCTGTCCCGCTCTCCTCCTCCGTCCCGTCCCGCTCAGGGCCCAAACAGGAAGGGTGTGGTGCTGAGGTGGCACACAGGGTCGCGACCTGGCCTCCTTCTCCTGGTCATTAGAGTCTCGAGTCGGGCCAGAGCTTCCGTTGATGTGGTCCGCGAGGAGGGAAGGCAGGGGAGGGACTACCCTTAATTGTACCCTAGGTCATAGTGAAAGGAATGTCTGAGGTCTGAGGGCCTTGTTACACACTCAAAAGCGCACACAGAAAAGTCATATACATGCGTTTGCTCTTGCTGTTTCTCCCTCCGCTGTGTCCTGGGTTTCTCTGTTCCCCTGCACCTCCTGTACACCCACCCCTGCGGAGAAGGCCACTAATTGGCACATTGGCTGCCAGTGTGGGTGTGGAGGGAATGTCAGAGCGCCACGCCATAGCAAGGAAGCCACAGACATCTCCAGAGCTGTATGGAGATCTGGTGAATTAGACAAAGGCAACAGGATCACGTTCAATACGGCCCATTTTGAATCAACCAGAGATATTAAGAGAAAACATGATTTTTTGTTGTGTTTTTATTCTTTAAAGGCATCCTCACACTTATATTGTACCAACTCATGTAACTTTCTGCACCATGATTATCTCACCTGTCTTTGTTGGAAAACAAACCATGACACATAATCTTTGCCATGGTTCCATTTTAGGGCTCATTTACAATATACTCTAAGAGCTCACGTTTACGTTGACTTTTATTTCGCAATTATTTCTGAATTACGTTTAAACATTTAGACATATTCATTTATTTTTTCCCAAATGTATTGGCAGGTTTGCATTTATTAATTGACAGGAGAGAAAAAAGCCAGAGACAAATCAATCAAAATTCAATAAATGATTAGTAATTTTTAAATAACAATGAGCAGTTATATTGTCACCACATGTTTGTGAACGTATTTGTACCCAACCAAGCCTCGATGGAGAGGATTGCATCGGTGGGCTCATCAGGAGTTAAAAGAGTTAAAAGTTCATTATAAGTATCTTTATATAGGAATTTCTTAGTTTTTGTTGTTGTTTTTTGTCCCAATCAAAGATAGCTTTATAATTCCATAAGTAAAGCATACAATTCACTTTGCTTTCCATCTTTCTGTTTACATTGTGTATTTTTAGAATAAAAAGAGCTCCAAACCAAACAGATGACACATGTCCATCTAAAGAAGGCTGTGTGATAATCTCTACTCAAGGTCACAGAGGAACAATGGTCATTCTTTAATTTGACCAAGCATGCTGTTAGCTGCCCTCAGTCACACTAAGACAAAAAATAGCCCAGTGATGAGAGATAATTACAATGGCTGCTGCTGAAGTGCATTGGTGTTTTGGTACTTTTTATGTAAGGCAGTTCTCAAACTTTTACACAGATAATATTACAGTTATATTTGGCTTTTTGACTTGTAGGCTACCAAACCTATAATTAGATATAATAATTCCAAACCAGGCATGGATTACTCATGCATACAAAAGTAAGTCAATTATGAAGTGAACCGTTTTTACGGTCTCTCACAAAATGCTGAGAAGAACTATATTTTCAGTTGGTATTGGTGTTTTGGCAATGTTTTAGCCAGATGTGAGGCGATATAGGCCCAACGCTGATAGCCCACCACCAATAGGAAACACTACAGCGAACTTTCCAGTCAACACATGAGTCAGTCAGCAGGGATGCGCCAAAAATAAATGTCTTCCCTGTTTTGAGAGGGGCCACACCCTCCCGTGGTTTTTGCGAGGGCACCATGGACAGTGTGGGCAGCCTGGGCGACCGCCTCTTTGGGCCCCAGGAGGGATGAATGAGCGTGGGAGGAGGAGAAGCACGAGGGCCTGGTCCTTAGACTATAACATTAGGGTGAAGGTGCTGGCAACCCCACAGTATTCTGTTTATTGTTTACCCACTATGAGGACAGTAAACAATGCCACACCCACATTTTGGACACTTGAGGTTGGAACTGCTGCTATAGCCTTGGATATCATGCTGGATACGGGCAGGGCTTCCTCCAACTACCAGCCTACATTGTTTCCACACACAATGTAACATTTTATAATTATAAATCTTTCTCTATGCTTTGTTCTTTCTCTGTATGGTTCCCAGGCCTAAAAAAAAGTCTGCAGAAGTAGTAATTTCAGTGCCAAGTTCCACAAAATTGCTGCATTTAACATATTCCTATAACTATCAGACAGAAACATAATTAAATAAAAAAAACTTAAATAAATCATAACATATACTGTGATTTACATAATACATATGCAACATAATGTTGGTTGGGATAAGTAGGAAATCAAAAATAAGTACAGTACACACAAAGCCTATAGGTTTTGGTCTCTTTATTCAAAATGCAATGCAATTGCCAAATTGCTTTTCAATTTGTAATTTTTTTAAATATTCCTTTTATATTTGTATTTAAGTTTGTATTTACAATATGTTATTTCCATTCTTAAAGATATATAGGGGGATTTTGTACTTCCGGGTGGATCATCAAGACTATCTGGTGATACGTGCTCGTCAAACAAGGCCAGAGAGTTTTGTTCAAAAAGTGATGAGGGGGCGGTTACTCCCAAAAATTTGGGAAAATCCTCCTAAATATCTTTAATATGCATTGTATGTTTACTTGATTGGATTGTCAAATGTCATATCTAAAAAGCAGATCAGAAAAGTGGTGAAACAGCGCCTCCTCTGGATTGTTTATTCCAAAAACAGAATTGCGCTCACACACGCAAAAGGTCTTTTCATTCAAAACATCTTTCAATCTTGCCATGTGCACGCGGCCTCTCTAGTTCTTTCTCTCCTCTGCACAACTGCATTCTGACAACCAAAGCCAGACCTGGATTAAATCAAGCACTTGAAAATTCTCACAGACAAATTAAGAGGTTAAACGATCACATCCGCAGGCCTACTGAAGTCTGAGGTGTAAATCCGAAATATGAGCTGAAATGGGAAGCAATAGAAAGATAGGGCGCCATGTGTACTGGTTCTGCTGCGTGTGTCATAAACTGGGTTTGTTTAGGCTGCTGTACGGTGTGCATGGTGCTGGTCCATCAAGTGCCATAAAACCATACTGACACCTGCATCAGCGCTGGATCCTGGAAATCTTGGTGGAATCAGTTCTCCTGCAGAAACCTTCCTCCTCACAGTGAGTGTGTATCTGCTCGTGTACTGGCCTTCATGTCCACGCATGCATGTGTTCTGCAGGGAATCACTGGGACCTGATGAGTCCCGGCCCTGGTAGACCTAGTCTAAAGACCCAACGTTAACCATGCGTTCTCCTCAAACTGCACTGCGTGTACTTTGAAAGAGTCTTATCACAGCGACCCAGAAGAAGCCAACAGAGAATACGACAATGTTTCATGGCCGGAGACGGACTCTTCTCTTTGCCAATCCATAGAGATTGGCAGATTGAAAAATGGCCAATTTTCAATTGTCAAATGTAAATGGAAATTGAATGTAACAATTTTAAGCCCTTTGACAAATGTATTGCATTTTGGTTAAAGAAACTAAGTAACTTCCATAGTAGCGTTCATAGAAAACACATTTAATCAAGATGCCCCAACAGAAAGTCTTGTAAAAGGTACAATGTAGTGAACAAATCAGACTCTCTGGGTTCTCTTCATATTATTAGAAATCTTCTTATATTTTTCATACTTGCAAGAATGAGCCCTGTGAGTAACTTAACTGACGCTTTTGGCTGATAGGCTCTCAGCCGATCCTTTCTTTTGCACTTTTTTGTTTGGCAAAAATACATACATGTGAAAACTAGTGATAGAACCATACTGTTAAATGATAGGCAAGGTAGATGGATTTCTTTGACTATTTCCATTTGTTTGTGGTTGGAAAGCTAGGTACCCAAGCTTTAAATCTGGAAATAATACAATGTTAAAAATCCCAAATTGACAGCATTATAAATAAATGTAACCAAGAACATTGTTATGGCCCCTTGTGATGGACATAATGTTTTCGGGCATTGGTGTAAAAGGTTTGCTGACTGCAGTCCTTAGAGTGGCCCTGTTCGGTCAGTCAGAGGTGATCTCTTTGGCCTCTTCTAACATGGTGTGTTTCCTCTGTAGCTTCCCTCCTGTGCAGTGCCAGCGTCCTGCCCGTGAAGGCTCCCTCATCGTTAGCTGTCAAGTGTCATCTTTATTAGCGCTCTCGTGAGTCAGACAAGTGACAAGAGAGAGCGCCGCGAGCCGTTCTTTCATCACCCCCGGCAACGGAAGCGTCAGTCCCTCCATCTATTATTCATATTCCCTTTAATTTAACCAGGTAGAAGTGTCCACACCACACAGCGCACGCACAGTGTACAGGCGGTCACCTCAGCGAAACAAAGAGGGACATGCAAGTGGGATTGTAAAATATTATACAAATAATATTGGTATTGCAAATAAGACATTTTCTGAACACAAACAAATATATACTTTTTTTAATATATATATATATATATATATATATATATATATATATATATATATATATTCTATACCAATGATAAGAGTGTTGAATGTGTTTGAGAATGAATGATTAACTGAATGAGAAAATACTTTCTTTTTATTTGTTTTTTTCTCCTTGGAAATGTACATTGGAATATGTACATATTCAACAGAAGGAGTATATATCCTCAAGATATATAAAAACCTATTTCTTTAGGGATAACCTTGTGGATAACTGAGGATCAAATATAGTCTCTATTCCAGCCCACACATGTACAGATGCACACTCAGACATACACACACACACACACACGCACACGCAAACGCACACACACATACTCACACTCTCACAGATCCACATACGCAGACACCAAATTCCCTAAAACCATCAAAACATACACATTGACAAAAGTCTGTAACAACTCAAAGTTGGAGGAATCATATGACTTCTCATTTCCAAAGAAGGGGGAGACTAAAGCAGAAGGGAAAAAGAGAAAGAAGAAGAAAACACTACATATCCTACCCTGGAATTAGAGCATGAATTGTCACTCAAGTCAATGTTGAAAACTGGAGGTTCCTTCAAAAACAGGGATGTCTCCCTCTCCGCCTCTTCCCCCTTAGGACTGGGTGCGTTTGGGGAGATAATTGACGAGTCCCCTGGCATGCACCACGCTCAGAGACTCACGGGATCTGAATGTGTGTGTGTGAGCGCCGAGCAAAACAACACGCCGCAAATGTGTGTGTTTATCAGAGAGGGAGGAGGAGAACAGCCTGATTATTCCTTTCTTTGTGAGTGTAATCCATTTGTGCTAAGCTGGAGAGAGCACCCAGGAGTAATGAGAGCTGAACCTGAAAGAAAGTAGGCTCGTGAGCACACTTCTGAAAGGGCCCGTGCTTTCTTCTCTGTGTGCCTCTGCTGTAGAGCCGCACTGCTCTCACTAACAACTGTTAGCTTGTCTCTAACTATAGTCCAACACAACACATGGATCTCTTTTCTGTCTGAACTACCTGCAAGATTGTAGTCACTCAATGAAAGTTACATTTGTTTACATTAAAAGTTTTCTTCAAGTCGTTTTCTATTGGTCAACATTTATACTTTCATCATAATTTAATCTCAATGCATTATTCATTTTTAATCAAGCCTTTATCAGCACAGCCCAATTAATCTCATGGTTTTGACCAAACCAATCTATAAACATTGACGTCATGCATGTAAGTCCAAATCTA